AAACCAAGAATTGAAGGATACGCCCTAAACACAATGAAAGCCACATATCACAAGCCCATAGGTGACATACTCAGTGGTGGAAACAAAGCTTTTCCTCTGAGGTAAGGAACCAGGCAAGAATGCTTTACCGCTTCTATTCCACACACCACTGGAAGCTCTGGCCAGAGCAATTAGACAAGAAAAAGAAAAGTCATCCAAACTGAAAAGGGAAAGGGAAAATCACCTGTTCTCAGATGAAATAATCTTATATGTGGAAAGTCCTAGAATCCATATTGGAAGAAAAAACGCCGTGACATCAGCAAACTTACAGGATACAAAACCAACAGCAAAGAAAGCTTCAGTTCTACATCCCAACAGTGAATAATCTGAACGGGGAATTATGAAACCATTTCCATTTACAATAGCAGCGGAAAGAATAAAATACTTGGAAATTCACTTAACCAAGAAGGTGAAAGACTTGTACAATGAAAACTGGCCGGACGCGGTGGCCCACGTCTGAATCCCAGCCCTTTGGGAGGCTGAGGCAGATGGATTAGCTCATGTCAGGAGTTCAAGACCAGTCTGGACAACATGGTGAAACATCATCTCTACTAAAAATACAAACATTAGCCAGGCGTGGTGGTTCAGGCAATCCACTTACCTCGGTCTCTCAAAGTCCTGGGATTACAAGTGTGAGCCAAAGTGCCCAGCACAAAAAACACAACTGTTGAAGGACCAAGTGTGGGGTTGGGCACGGTGGCTCCCCACCACGACTGTGAGCGGCGCGGGATGAGCATCCTTATAAGGGACACCAGAGAGCCGAGTTGCTCTCGCTGCCACATGAGTATCCAGCAAAGAACACTGCACGGGGGTGGGGACTGAGCAGGCACCCTGACCTTGGGCCTCTGCCTTCAGAGCTATGGGGACACACACCCCAGTGGTTAGGGCAGGCTCAGTAGCCAACCACACTCCTGGGTTTTTGTTTTTTGTTTTTTGTTCTTTTTTTGAGACGGAGTCTCTCTGTTGTTCAGGCACGAACTCGGCTCACTGCAACCTCCACCTCCCAGGTTCAAGTGATCCTCCCACCTCAGCCTCCCAAGCAGATGGCATTACAGGCGTGCACCATTGGGTCCGGCTAATATTTTTATTTTTTGTAGAGATGGGGTCTCCCCTTGCTTTCCAGGCTGGTCCTGAACTCCTGACTTCAAATAATCTGGCTGACTTGACCTCCCCAAATGCCGGGAAAACAAGCGTGAGCCACCACCACGCCTGACCTCTGCTTGCTTAGTTGTGGAAAGAGACCTGGTCCCAAGTGGGGACGGCCTGGAACACAGACCTCAGCTGACCCACAAGGATGGGGTTTGAGATCTGAGGCTCTTTGTCACAGCGGCATAACCCAGCCTGTACTGACTAATACAGCCCCTAGAGACCCCGGCTCCAACGTTCAAATCAAGGTAACTGGCTACTTCATGAACCTGTCACACACCAAAGCGCTGCTAGGTGGAGTGACAAGGTTGTCACACAGACTCTGCAGACCCCAGAGGCAGCGATGCCTGTGCATGCCCTTGGTGCCTTCAGCCCCACAGACCTGGTTTTGCTTTTCCAGCAACCCCCAAAGATCAAAGCTTTCCGGATGGCCACGCCCACACTGCTCTGAGTCCCGGCTCCCCGTCCCTGCAGCAGCCACAGAGCTGCAGGAGGGGTCCTCCAAGGAGCAGCCGGCTGTGGGACAATCAGAGGTCAGAGGTCACTCCTGCCCATGTGTCTGAGCCCGTCAAGCAGGACCAAGGCAACGGACGTGGTCCAGGAAACACAACATCCCTCCAGCCCCACCACCAAACTCAGGCGGGGCCTGTCCTGATGACCATTCACACCAGGGGGTGCCCGTCTGCCAAGTTGAGCATGGAAAGCCTCCCGGCCCACCTGGCAGAGCCCGGATACTAGGATGCCGGACGCGCTCCCTGACCTGTGACCGTCAGCCACGGACAGGCCCCACCCTTCCGAGGGCAGGAGCAGGGGCGTGCCAGTGTGTGGAGTGGCCGACTGGGGCAAGTGCCCCGTGTCACGTCTGTGCGCCGAAAACCCCTCAACAAAAGCTGCTGTGTGACACTGGTGCTGGGACAGGCACAACCGGGCGTCTCCACAGCAGTTGGGCTCCCGTCTGGGTGGGTGTGCCCTAGCCCGACTCACCTGCCAGGACTGAACCAGCTGTGCGATCTCCCGACATGTGCTCCGTCAGCTCAGCGATCTCCTCCCACTTCCTCCCATAGTCAAACTGGGCCAGCTTCAGGCGCCTGGAGAGGGAGTTCCCAAGTGGGCCGGCCAAGGCAGCCACGAGGTGGGGGCTGGAAGACAGGCAGCCAGGCGGGCACCCATGCCAGATGTCCCCTTGGGAGGGACTCTCTTCCTGTGACAGCCAAACTCCACCCTCTCCATGATGCAAACCAGGTCTGGGCTGAGCAGAGAGGTGGCAACTGCTGTGGGGCCTGGAGATGGCCGCACCCCCTCTTCACACCAGCCCTGCCCTCACCTGCCCATTCAGCACCCACAAGGCGCATGGCCCTTACAGTGGCAGTGGCAGAGCCCTGACTTCCAGCAAAAGCAGCTCCCTGGAGGCCACAGAAGCCAAGTCATGGTGCCAGGGCTACGAGCAGCCGTGGGAGTGGGTGTGCCCAGCGCGGGGAAGGGCCAAAGGGAAACTGAGGCCGGGACAGCTGGGCTAGCATGGAGCAGGCAGCCGCGGAGGGGTCGGCAGGGGGAACCAGGCTCTCTTTGGAACAGAGCGGCTTTTGCTGTCACTAGACACAGCAGGAATTTAGGTCAGGTGCACAGAAGGACTCAGAAACCCGAGACCTGGAGATGCCAAGAGGTGGAGCAGCCTCTGCTCATCTGGAGTGTTCCGGAGGCAGCCGGCGTGCAGCCCCAGGGCCTGTCATCACCTGGAGGCCTCTGCCCACCGTGCCTGCTGCACCCACCGCCAGCGACAGGGAGCCTGAAGGCCTCAGGGTACAAGTGCAGCCGGAGCCGCGCCCCACACCATGAGGCTCCAGGGCCAGGCGTGGCAGCTGGAGG